AAATTTACAAAGACAATGCGCTGCCGCTCGGATCTCACGCGGGGTAATTTTTTTTTTCTTTACTACATTATAATAATGCGTCGCCGTGGACGAGCATTTGCATGCATCCGACGGATTATATCTACACAGAACACCTGTGACTTCGGTCTGCCGTTCTCACGCGTTCGTCCCGTTTACTTCTTGTACGGGCAGCTGAGTATTGTTTTAGATGGACAAAAAAAAAATGAAAGGATGAAAATTAGACAATTTTTTTTTCTAACTACATTGCCGGTGCCCAAAAGATATTTGCATGTACGTGAACGAAATACGAGGTGGTTTTTTTTCTCGGACAGTAATTTTTTTTCGGCACTGGGATCTGCTCGACGACCGAGTTCTCATAGGGTTGTATGTTGACAGGTTATGTTTTAACACTATAGGTGTGCCAGTACAACACTGTAATAATATTATATTATACATTTAAATCGGAATTTGTTGCAACGGAGTATTTTTTATTTTATTTTAATTTTAAAAATGTTATTAATAAAATGTATATACAGCATTGTATGTATTAATGACTTGTATGTGTATTCTAGAATTTCGCTTATGAGGGGTATTACCTAAGCCAAAAGGACTTTCCAGCCCGCCTTTGGATTTAGTAAAATAATTATTATCACACAAAAACATAAAGGCATATTATCAGTGCATATTGTCGACGTAATCAGATACCTCCTCAGCTTCATATCGACCTTATAACATTCTAAATAAACAATGATCATTAGTTGGCAATTTTTTTTGATATTAAAAGAATTAGTATTTATTTTTTACTGACTACAAAGGTAATGAGTTTTAAACAGTTTTTTCTTTTTAATATATATCAGTTATACATATATTTTCAAATTGTTAATTCATCTACATCATATAAATGGTTTTAATAATTAAAATAACATGTGCGCGTTTCTGTATTTTATACACTTATAATATATTATATTGTGTTTCTAGCCTCTAAAGGTGATACGGCCCATGTGTTTTCTATGCGACTACCTTAAGGGTTAACCTGCATCTGGCCCATCGATAATTTATTTTAATAAAATAAGTTGGACTAAAACTGACAAGACACTTAAAACACATTTTTCTCTGTTTAAGTTTAACGTTAGTCTGTAACTGTGTATTGAGCTCCATTTTGTTTATTATTACATGTTAATTGAATCTATTATAAGTTAATACTATTAATTAATATAAACGTAACTTAGGTGATGATCATTACATAATTATTATAGACGTATTAAGTGCAAATGTGTAATAGATAAATTAAAATGTTTTGTCTTGTTTATCTTACCACCGTCAAAATTCTGCTCTTCTCTGGTTGTAATACATTAATAATTATACACAATACTCTCACGACAACGACTGCAGTATGCGTTTATAATGTGTATTATGAAACAAAAAGTGATCTATTCGTATATTTATTGTGTCATATAAAAAAACACCTCATCATCAAAACAGCTGGAGCCAACATATTAAAACTCATTAATATGCAACGGAGTGTACAGCTCAAGATATCCGGACCCCATTTTCGTTATAATTTTTTTTTTAGTTAGAACAACACTAGGTGTATTGATTATTTTTTTTTCACTGTCTATGGTAGTATTTTTTTGCCGTTTCCCATGCATAAAGACATTCTCGGACTTTAAAACGACAAAAAAAAATATATGTATAAAAATAATGTTAATGGCCTCGGCACGAAAAAAAAAACAAAAAGAACCACCGGTTCTGCCTGAAGGGTTCACATTCTCCGAGTATTTTTTTTCTGACCATTTTTTTCCCTAGATCATCATACCATGAGACTCGAATGCGCTCGGGAACAGTGGATAAAAAAAATATATATTAACCATTCTGTCGGTGATCGAAATTTAATTTCACAGAAATATAAATTATACTAAGAAAAAACAAATTAAAAGATAGCCGTTTTTTTTACTAATAACTCCGCATCGGCGTAACAATAAAAACATTATTTACCGACTTAAATTGTATTAATTATCGCGAAACACATTTTTTTTTGTCAAAAACAAATTTTGTTATTTTTTTTCTTAAATTACCTAATTAACATTTCCATAATCATATAACAGACGTTATGTTTGAAATAAACAAATGACAAAAAACATATAAATAATATAATATATTACAATATACATACAATTATATTGACATGATTCAAATTTGCTTTATAATACGAATTGTATTAGGTATAGCTTTTTGCCGCATTTAAAACCTTGATCATGACCATAGTCTGATAGCACACAATATGAAAACATTTTATTATTCCAAAACCATCAGGCACAACCGCGATGTACTTATCACGATATTGTGATCTACCGCGTGGAAAGGTGTTATTATACATTTTTTAATCAGATCGTTGACCTCATGTCCCATAACGCGCCTGGGTAGTATGTTATAATATTATTGTGTGTAAAGATAGATCGATGAATTCTTATTTGATCAGTTAACAACAAATCATGTACCCGTGGTTGACCCTGAGGCCGCACAAAAGGTTCATTTACATAGATGGACTACCCCGCAGACAGATGGACGGACCCTAAATGATGCATATGTACATTTTTTATGGACTTTTTTTTTATCCAAAAGATTCTGGCTTAGTTTTTTTCTTCTTATTATTATTATAATAATAACGCGACGTTCAAGAAGTTCTCATTGTTCAAACTACAAAGTGTGTGTTACACATCTGCTGTTAATTTTGCATTCCGTTTCCATAGCTGATCAACATAATAAGATATGTATATATATATATATATATATATATATGTTTTATCTATTATAAAACCTATATCAATAGCAATCCAGACAGAAATAGCGACCAAATTATTAGACGAAAACTACTAATAATGTGTTATTCCATATAATGTGTTATTCCACGATAATACAACAGATTCAACAGAACCAACAAATAAATTATTCATTTTTTGGATTAAATCCGATTCTGGTCATAGCATTTCTCTAAGCCTCTAAATCGTCAACTGGGTTTTTAAATACTTTTTAAGAATATTAACTAATACTCGCTGCAGACTCCAGATCATTCGCATGTATAACTGCTGATTTTTTAGTGTTACCAACAAAAATTGTATTATTAATTAAAACTTAAAGTTTGATATTGAATTTATTTATTTTAATCGGGTGTGTATTTAATGGACTCGATCTCAGACGAAAAACAATAAAGGTTACAAAAATAAATATTTTTCCTGTGTATGACATTTCGGTGGCCTTAATCATCTTTTTTTTAAAGCGTAGAGTGAACCTAATTTCCTAAATAACGATATAACGACTATTTCCTATACAACGACTCTTGTCGATATACAATATATTAAATTATATGTTAACTGCTGGGTTTTCTTTTAAACAATTGTGAGAGTACTAAATACTTATGAATGGAAAAAAAGAAGGGACCTAATAATAGCACCGCAATAAAAAAAAAAGCCATTTCATAATATTATGAATTTGTATATTTTTTTATCGATTATAAACCAAAAATTGAAAACATTCTAGTGGCTGATATCTGTGGTGTAAGCAGTAACCTTGAAAACGAGTTCAACCCTCAACTGCTGTCCGACGCGCGTTATGCAATAATTACACCACACATCGCGTCCCCCAGCCCAGGTCACTCTGACCCAGGAAGTCGTTATAACATAACACGGCCGTACTATAAGACTCATGCAGGTTAATAATCAGAAAGAAACCGGCCGGTTCCCCTACCCGATTTATAAAAAATAAAAAAAACACTTCTTGTCTGACCATCAACCCTTTTTTGTCGGACAAAAAAAAATGTAATAATAATAAAAATATGTAGTAGGTACGGCGTGTGTGTGTAATGTGTGCTGTGTAGGTGATCATTATCCGAAAATACGAAAGGGTCAAGAAAGCGACCAAAGCAACGCACTTAATTATATTGAAATATTATTTTAATTTAAATTTTGCATAGTAAAAGGTTTTTCTTCCAGTCTACATATCGAACACAATGCACAATATGAACGTTAACAATTTTTTTTACATAGTGAGATTAAAAAAAAAACAGCTCAATATCCGTCGTCATGCATTATTTTTATCCGAGTGTCTTGGACTAAACAAATGTAATATAGAATTTTGTACTAAAAAATTGGTATTGGATTTTTTCTTTAAATTTATTTTGAATAGCATTGAAAATATTATAACCTTTTTTACTAAGCATAATATATTAACGATTATTGCCAAATTACTTTTGTATAAAAATAAGTTAAGTAATAGTTCCATTTAAAAACGTCATCGCAATTTGTTTTATACATTTTTTTCAAATTAATTAGTTAGATATCGATATTTATTTCGAATTTCGTCTCGCAGTTAACCGATCAGCACGAGACAGCCGTCAATGTGGCGCCGTCGGCTGCATTGGGCTCGTGCAAATGCAACTGCAACGACAACTCGACGCCGATTTAATAATAATATATATGTCAAAGTCGAAGGATACGAGAAATCATCCCTTCCCCGCTTTCTCTCCCCCATTTGGAGCCATTATTTCTTTTCCCGTTTCACGTATCGCTGAGGGCTCGAGTAGTTTTCCCCGAGGGCCATATAAAAGCTGTGGTGGACTGGACGGTCGCCCAACACGAGGAAGAGAAAACTCTCTTACTACGACTAAGTCACACGATATAAAATATTGGTTTCAAAAATGAAGGGGGAAAATACACGTTCTATATAATATATAAATAGGATAGAAACCACTATCCAAGAGCTAAACAGCGCAGACACATTTATTATGGGTGACCTGAATTCTGAGCGCTACGCTACCACTATAATACAGTATAATAGCGTTTTCGGCAATAAAAAAAAAAATACGCAAAATATAGAGATTAAAGCTACTGCGTCGACACTTGAGTGTATATCAGTCGAAAGGGAAAATAATTAGGACCAAATAACTCATAAAAAAAAAAATGATAGGTTCAGTCCTATATTTACAATGTATATCTATTTTTCAGTGATCATGACGTCCAACCCCAGCAACGAAGCCGAATTGCAGCTGTACAGAGTGATGCAAAGAGCTAGTCTCTTGGCTTATTATGACACGCTATTGGAAATGGGTAAGCATTATAAATTATAACCATTAGTTGATTAATAATATTATTATTACATGAGAAACCAAAGCGTACTCGACTGTACTCTATCGGTCAACAGCAGGGAAAATAGAGAGATAACAAATCAATTTAACATGGCCATTTTAAAAACAGAAGAAGATAAATTGTAAAGTATCAAAGTAGCTTTAAAGTTTAAGTCAGTTGTTGCGATTTGTTATCAGCCATTAGAGGTACTGGTAACACAGAACAAATATTCTGTAGTGGTAAACCGAAGAAGTAAAAGAGGATAAATGTTAGTTTTAAACATAAAAGTGTGTGAAGTAGATAGAGAAAAGTGGAGAAAAAATTAGATTGATGTCAAATTTGAGTACGTCCGATGCGTTATTACTATACATACATATTGATAGTAATAATAATAATAATAATTAATATTATCATTTAATTTCCCGTGTTTGACTATAACAGGAGGCGATGACTTGCAGCAACTCTGCGACGCCGGCGAAGAGGAATTCCTGGAGATAATGGCGTTGGTCGGCATGGCTTCCAAACCGCTGCACGTCAGGAGGCTGCAAAAAGCGCTGCACGAGTGGGTCAGCAATCCAGGTATGTTATTTTATAAACAAATAATTATACATGAGTATATATAGGACAGGTACTAAAAGACATATCGAGCCACGGGCTTGAGTTTTCGAAACGGATTAATCTATTAGTAGGTGCAGTGTATTGAAATTCATACAAATTAATAAATAATAATAATACTATAGCTATCACGCGATATTCTTTGATTGATCGTCATTTCCGGATATTATGTGAGCTGCACGTTGACCAAATGTCGCGGGTCCGTCATTAATATTACATAGAATAGTGTACCTTCAAATATATACATTATACACGTTATATTTAGGTACCTCATAAGTATGACGTGTTACAGGCCACCTTGTTTATATATTAGTTTATATATAATATGTATATATATAGACTAATAAACGCTAATATCGTTGCTACGTGTATACGGCGGTCATGACGTATATTTTCCTCGGCACACTTATTATTATCATTATTTTTTTTCGTAGCATAGTAAAGGTATACTCAGTGTACATATACCGAGAGGCAATGACAATGAATAATAAGATACGGCGGCGGCAGGAGCAGTTGGTGAGCCACCAGGTTAACCCTTTTGTGTTCAGTCGTTCCTTTTGTTAACGTGTGTTGTTATTATTATAAGTGTGTGTTCTCAGCTACCGACGATTTTGATGTAATGAATAATTTAAAACGCGTACACAAAAATACAAATGTTTCAATAGTTTCATTTACAATCATAGGCCGACGGTTACATCCCATACCTACGTAGAAATAATAATATATTTTTTCATCGAAAATATTACGAAATATTAATCGTTAGTATATTTGTAATTTTATCAAAATTAATTATTATCAAAATTAATTATTGTCAAAATTAATTATTATTAAATAAACACACAAATGTTCGAATAATATTTCCTATACTATATTGCAAATAATTTTATATGTGTTAAACATCAAACAAATATTATAATCATAATATTCTCAACAAAAAATATCAATTTCTTTGATTATTGCTGTCGAAAACTCTGTGGCGCGTGGGTTGAATAAAAGTTATTATGACGATTTGTTTGTTAAAAAGTAATTTATAAATTCAATATTAAATTGCATCTCTGTGTATTTATACTGTGCTAAAATTTTTAAACGCTTTTTCTATATATACATATTTGTATTTGTATTAGTATTTCTTGATTTTTATTTTGTTTGGACAACTTAAATAGCATGTGTACTCGTTCAAAAAGAAGTAATAAATTTTATACCAAAAAAAATCCCTCGAATATGACGTTAAATGGGTTTATTTTTGCTCAATATTTTAAAATAATAATTCAAATTTGAAATTACTCTTATAAATACAAAAAAAAGACTACATAGAACGCAAGTTAGAAAAGTCTTTGTCACAAGTTGTTACTCTTTACAACACACAAACGACGTTTGTTTATCATTTCCTTATCAATCGACAACTATTAAAATTAACTAAAAAAAAAATTAAAAATAAATTAATAATTTATTGTAAATGGGCAATCGACATTAACGATAGAACAAGTTCTCCCAGTTTTCAAATTTATTAATTCATGCTTTATAAAAATTGTCTTTTTAATAAAACTCAAAAAACAAAACAATACCTACGCCCAAGCAGTGTTGAACATAATGGGTTAAATACATTTATCAACTCCATACGTTCTGTATGCATGTAAAAATTATTTTAAATATTATATAACATATATTAAACTCATATATTTACTGTTACATTACTACAATTAGAAACACTTATTAAGTCTTCAGACTTCAACAACATACTGTTTGTGCTTTCGTTCACTGTTCTGCGAGTCATCGTTAAATATTCAATTAAATCCAACTGTTGTTGTTATTTTATTTATCACAAAGCCCAAAACGACTCTAGAAAATGGATATGTAATATTCTGTCGTTTAATATACTACTGCATATTATCCAATAATATGTTGACTTTTCATTACCTATGTATAATAATGAATTACCCCTAAAGTGGTAATTGTAAATTATAATTCTGATTTCTATATTATACATTAAAAATATTAAATTACTAAACATTAAAAAAAAACACTGTAATGTATTATGTAAAGTCATCTAAGTCTATTCCGTAACGTAACTTATCGTCTATTCCCAAACACACACATGCACATATTATGTACATGCTGCCTTTCCCAATGAACTCTTATTTTTGGTCTAAATCGCATCAGTTTTTGTGAAATGTATATCGCTGGAGCTTAACAATATTATAATTTTAGTAAAATACACAGAAATAGTAATAAGTAAATTGCATGATTAGTTACGGGAAATTAACGATAACCTGATGGTTATTTGTGGTGGTTATAATGTATAGAAAATATATGTATGAGCCGAATAAGCGTTTATGCATTTTACAAATATTGTCAAGAAAAAAAACAGATGAAACAATACAACCGGTAATAATCGGGAGGCCTCTTGCTGTTTCCTATACCTTAGTAATACTGAAGTTCGTGCATTATTCCCGACTTGGCCGTTTCGAATATCGACCTGCGCGGTACTAAAAAAAAAAAAATCACCCTTATCACGAGAATAGGCCGTTTACAGTCCCTCCTCGCCTTCTCATAGAGCAAAAAAAAAACACATTTAAGAGCCGACCGTGGGTCGGAAAATAGAGGAGAGGGAGAGAGAGTGAAAAAAAAATAATAGTCGGCGGAATTTCTGGATGAAAGGTCGTCTCGCACCGCCGTACACAAAAAAAATATACCGTACAAACGTCGAAAGGTCTAGAATTCAAGTGGTGAAAAAACCTTTGGCGAGAGTAAAAAAAAAATGCTTTTTATGTATACATCTTCTCCTCACCTTCTCCTCTTTCCCAGCTGAACACCCGAGGCGTAAAACACACTTTTGCGGTGTACATTTTCAACGAGATATCTGCCTTGTATGTATGTGTGTGTGTTCTATTGCGGTACCTACCGTGTCTATAATAATATACACTCTCAGTAACCGTGTAAAGCAGCGGCAGCCTGTACGGTTTTTTGCTACCGATTTTTCTTTTTTTTTATACATAGTCTACAAGAAAAATCGCTCAGCCAGGAAGAGAAAGAGAGAGAGAGAAAATATAATATGGAACAATGTAAAAAAAAAGAAAAAGAAAAAGTACCGAATCATAAAACCTCTACCCTGCGCTGTTGTTGTTCTATATATTTTATATAAATATATACCTCTCGCATCTTGTTGTTTTTCGAAACAACTACGTCGTCGTGTCGCCCAGTCGAAGAGAATACAAAAAAAAAATAAGCGAGAGAGAAAAAATAAGTAAAGTGGGAGAGGAAAGTCAGAACTGTAGAGGGGGGAAAAGCGTCGGGTAAAAAAGTTTTTTCGATCAATTTTTCCGTCGCAGCTGTATATACGTCTATAGCGTATTGAGAGATTTTCAGATAACGTCCTCGAGAAGGAAACGCACACACTATTTTTTTTTCAACGAAGAGAGGGGAGGCAACAAAGTACATTTTTTCAATTATAATACGTTCTCCCCACTTTTTTTACTCTGTCCCATTCGGCGGTAACGCAAAAAACTAATTTGTATACATATAATATATGTATACTAGTCATACAGAAAAACATATATTATATATAGTTTAAAAAAAACACTAATACCAGTATATACTATATTCATAGTAACCCGAAACGTAAGGTAAAAAAAGAATGATAACAAACAATAATGCAATATTTAAAAACGTAAATTTAGTGGTAAACGTTTTCCTGGGGTTTTCTCAATAAAAATAAATTGTGATTTATTAAAAAAAATTGTATTAATATGTTCACAAAATTATAATTTATAGGTCTAATTATTGTCTATTTTTCATATTTCCAACCTTAAATTAAAAGAAAAAAAAGTTTATCTCTATTCGGAGAGAGGGTTTCAGATAGAGTTTCTGCTCTTCGGTTGTTCAACGCATAAAAAAAAAAAAATAAGAAAATTAGAATACATTTTGACTATTTTTGGCAAGTAAGTATGTCAAGTTTAGTACTTACAAAATGTGTTAAAGTTAAAAGTGTTTTTCTTAAATTTGATAAAAGAATGTACAACATATCCTTTGGTGAAAAAATGATTAAAAACTAATAACATCGAAACTAAAATCTGATGACAACATATTCCATTATTGCAGCAACTATACTATTCTCATAAAAATAGTGGGGGAAAAAATGAGGTCAAGAGAGGGATTTATTTCTCTTACACCTCTCCTTTCCTTCTTTTTGTGTATGGTGTTATGCCCCTGGGTAAAAATAGAAATTATCAATATTACATGCTTTCCTTTAGCTTGCTAACACGTACGTTTGTACAGGTATTTTTAAAATTTTGCAAAATTAATTTAACCCACTTCCCGATGTCGTATAGGGCTGAAACTTGGCACAGACACTCATCTTAGTTGACAATACAATATATTGTAATCATATTGGGACTCGGACATCCAGGTCGCCCCATACAGGGTCAAATGTGAGGGTCATTTCACTAAAATGTCATGTTTTTTTCAAATTAATTTAGTAATCTATTCAGCAATTATTAAATATCTTTAATAGGACTAAAAAGAAAAAAAAGAAAAAAACTTTTAAAAACATGCTTTCTTAAAAAAAAAATAGTAAAAAGTGAACTAAAAAGTAAAAAATAATTTTATTACAAGAACAATTTACTAATCAATTGTAGCATATTTTATTTAAAATGTCAATTACTTTGAAAACAACCGAAAATTAACTATAATTTTAAATAATGTTAAACATCTTTAATTTTTGTCTAAAGAGAAAAGCGTAGGCCCTATTCAACAAAGTCCCTAATAAATTTATCAGATAATGTTTTATATTGTAAGTTCTTTTGTAATTTAAATTTAGTTTAATATTTGTGTGTGACACATAAATTTCATAATACTTAACTCAATGAATTTGGACTTTGTTGAATAGGGCCCACGCTTTTCTTTTTAGTAAAAAATTTAAGATGTTTAACATTATTTAAAATTTTAGTTAATTTTCGGTTGTTTTCAAAGTAATTGGCATTTTAAATAAAATATGCTACAATTGATTGGTAAATTTTTCTTGTAATAAAATTATTTTTTACTTTTCAGTTTACTTTTTACTATTTTTTTTTTTAGAAAAACATGTTTTTAAAAAAGTTTTTTTAATTTATTTATTTTTTTAACTTTGGAGTACCTCCGATATTAAGAAAATTACTATTAATTAGATGTTTTGACTTTTGAGTAAATATTGTGCAAGAAATAAATACATTATCCGGGTGGTAGTACAAATGAGTGATTTTTGTCAAGCGAACAAATCCATTTAACATTTGGGTTAAGCGTTTTACCATTTACCGGTACAACTTGTACGGCGTTAATGTTTTTTCTATACACCAAACTTTAAACTTGTCAGGCTTAATCGAACACATTAAATGCGTCCTGCTCAAAAATAATTTGATATAACCGATTTTAGATAAGATTTATTATTTTAGGACTTATAACCGTTGTCTTTTTCAGCCATGTTCCAGACTCCTCTGGCGTCTCCTATCACCGCCGCTACTTCCACAGTAGCCCTGCCACCTAATCCCATCCGGCCGTACCTTAGCGCATGTCCCAACCCTCTTATACAAACGTCCATTCATCACGGATACTATACGCCGTTAGGATACGGTTACCAACCACCCACGTCGCCGTCGCCCGTGCCCAGTTCGACCAACCAACTACCACAGGTATGATTCCAAACATTCATAGCGCCTAATAGTATCTTCTCAGATTCGAGTCAAAACTAAAATCATTATCTGAATAAAAAAATAGTTATTTCTACAAAATATATAACGTATCATAGACCATAGTATGCAAACGCGTTAGAAGTGTTCTAATTTACGCTCCAGCACTTAAGTTCCAAATTACAATTGTAACGTTTAAAGACAAACCGTGTCTTTTGATAGATGTTTAATTATATTTCTCTAATAACAGGCAGCTCAAACGAGCGAGGCGACTACTTCGGCCGGACACCATTACGGGGACAGCAACAGTCCTGGCCAAAGCCCGGGATCTCCCCTGCAGCTTACCCCATCCCTGGACGAATCGCAGATTACCAGGCTGGCCACGTCGGCTAGACACCTAGTCCAGAGGTTACCTCAGTACCAACCCAAAATGCAAACGGCCAAAAGGAAAACGAACAAGGAGCTCGAGGTCAGTACACTAATTCGCATTTTATCACATGTAGTTTTCCATAAAAGCCCATCGCTGTTTTACCCAGCCTTCTCCACAGTTTCCGTTCTCCTGTCACTTGTCTGGAAGCACCAACTCTAAACAAATGGAGGTTCTTTTTTCACAATGGATCTAACGATCTTGGTTTCGGTCTTTCTAGTGGTATTTTAGCTTCTGGACCTCATTCTAATACATTTTTATAGCTATGCTTTCAGGCCTTTATACGGGGCCACCTATCGGCTTACTATTCATTCTCTGAGTGGGTATCCTAATTATATCCTACGCTCCAAAAAGTATTTTCGATTTAATGTAAGCCAATAACAACTGTTTTATTAATCGACAATAATATTGGCTTTTGTAGAACGTCATGAATATGCCCGAGGAAGATCCTAGGCGCATCGAGTCCATCAGAAAGTATTCGGCCATCTACGGGCGATTCGACTGCAAGAGGAAACCCGAAAAACCTCTGACCCTTCACGAGGTGATTATAAAAACTGACGACTAAAGGTCGATTCACACATATCAGTGACGTGACAGTGCCGTGACCGTTCCAGCCGTGATTTCTATTCACAATGGTCAGTGATTCATCCGTCATTAGGTCTAGAGGTCGTGGCCAAAATGTTTTCGAAAAATGAACTACTGATGATTGCTATGGTTTTGGACGAAGAAGAGGAAGAAAAGGTGGTTAAAACGGATATGGGTTCATAAGGCATGGACAAATAAGCCTACAGAAGGGGAATTTTCCACATTTTAGAAAGAATTAACAGATGATGTAACGAAGTTTTTCGAATATTTTAGAATGTCAAAAAATTCGTGATTCTTATTTTCAAATCACTATCTACAACGACCAACTGAGAATAGAAAGAACCAGAAAATAGATGGAGTTTTTCTATTCACAGTTCGCACAACACGCAATAGCTGAAAACCCTACCAACACGCGGTCGTGAAATTGAAAAAAAATAGTCGGGAATCAATGTGATGATCACGGTACGGTGTCGGCGAATGCACTGTTTGCACTGACACTGCCACGCGCCGGTCTTGTATGAATAGGCCCCTTTAAATTTCTGGAAGAATATTTTCGATCTTGTCACGTCACTGATATGTGTGAATCGGCCTTTAACGTCTTCGTTTTCTCCGGTGGTAACGGTCAGTGTGCATGTCGTTTTCCAGGTATCCGTTAACGAGGCGGCCGCACAGATATGCAAGTTAGTGCCGGTGCTGTTGACCAGACGCGACGAGCTGTTCCCCTTAGCCAGACAGGTGGTCCGCGATTCTGGATATCATTACTCCAAGGGACATTCCAAGTATAATATTTTTTTTTACTTCCATGTCAACTCATGGCATTTCGATCCTATCTGTACTAAAAAAATACCTCTGATGTTATAAAACAGGTCGAGCGTGCAAAGCTTCAGGGCGATGAGTTCGAACGGCGACTGTTACGGATCGAAAAGGCAACGGCTGGACGACCACGACGAGCTGCAGAAGATCCGACGACAAGTGAGTGGCTCCTATATTGTTTGCTTAACGGCAATTTTACAACGTTTGCGTCCCTTACAGGAACGTCTGGAACAGATAGCGGACGAGCTGTTGGCGGTAAACGCGCACCGGGACGAGTTGAACCAGAAGCCCAAGGAAGACCCGGCCGTGCAACACCAGCTGGAAGCCCTCAAAAACCGGCAGGCGCAACTGTTAGTTGAACAAAACGACCTGCAGCAGAACAAGTAAGAGGGCGAAGGACAACCTGTTTGGCCGAGGTTTACTCATCGGAAAAGGGGTTTGTTTCGCAGGTCTTCGAGGAGAGACAGCGCGGGCGGCAGGAATTCCACTGGCGGGTTCGACACGGACGACACAGATTCCCAGTTATCGTACAGCAACGCAAGTTCTCCTCTGCAGGTACATATCTAAAAAAAAAAAACATTATAATTGATCCACCGATATCTGATTTTGGTGGCACTGTCGCTTTCAGGACGTCGGCGACTCCAGGGACTCGATGGCCAGGAGTGTGGACTTCAACAACGACGGCAAGACATCCTCGCTGAACACAACCGGTAATCAGGTAAAACGTGCTCACGGCGGTGATGGCGAGTGCGGTGAACACGCTTGCGGCACTTCGGGTCCGCTTTGAGGACTTGATAATATGTTTTTGGGTTTATTAAACACTGACCGTCCGGGGATCGACCGAGGTTGTTATCTAACAAGTAACACTGGGCCGACGGCAGATTTGTCGAAGAGGGCGATGGCTCCAAAATAATCTAGCTGTTTTTTAAATAGTAAATATTTGGTATTTACCCAAAAATATAGGTTTTATTTGGTTCATGCATACCCAAAAAAACCTGACTGGATTGGGATTTTTTTTTTAAAAATCCCAGGTTATTGCCAACTCCACTCTCTTGTCTAGTATAAAATTTATGTTTTGGAAATTTTGCCCCTCCCCTTTTAGAAAACTCAGAGATCCACCACCGAGTTGAGCAAGTTGACAATCGATATTGACTTTAACTTTTATAAACTTCTTAACTGAAATATGAGTTATTACTTATTATTAATATAATTCTAAAATTAAAGTTAACATACCGTCTTGGCTGAATGTACGTAAAACTACGAACCAATCTATACCTAATGCTAACCTAACCTACCGGCTATCCTCATAAATGCATGGGTGTAAAATTGTTTTAGCTAATATTAAGTGCAGTTTAACAGTACTAAAAATTCACGCTTTGAATGTTAAATCTAAAGCCAAACTGGTGAGAATGACCAAACAGTTAAAAATAAGATATTTTGTACTTTTAGGGTGATAGGCGATAGCTAGTAACTCTTAACACTAATGTAGATCTCTTAACATTTTATTCCATCCCTATATAACTATACTTATTAATAGTACACTGTATAGATGTCATTAAACCTAATAGACACACTTAACTTTTCAGTATTCAATTAATTTTTTAAAATTATTTCACCGACTATTAAATATTTGTTTTTCCTTTATATAATCGTGTAATCAAATATTTATCCAAAATCCAAATTGAAATTTAATTTAATCCATTTTTGTATACAAATACAATCTCGGTAGATACTCGGACGTACAAATTGGGGACCGATAGGTAACGGTCAAGTGTACAGACTATGATGTAATATGTATCATATAATTTATTAACTAATACTTTAATTTGTACTTATTTTGGTATTATTTTGTCAGGCATGTATATAATATTAACGCTATCCATTTGATTAACCATTTTGTTCAGTTTACATTTGTTTTAGTTTATTTTTGCTTTGTTTTGAATTTGTTGTTCTCGACACAGGTACGTATCAGTTTTTACGTTTTTTTTATTTTCAACCAAAAGAACTGAAGATTTCTTTTTTTTTGCATCCATTAAGTTTGCATTACATTTGTTTGCTTGGACTGCAGCTTATGACGTTTAACCAATTAACCAAACGTATTACTTAATGTAATTTTTGGAAACGTTTTTAATGCAAATTGTCTTACCTTACAGAGTAATTTGTCTTGCACTCACGATTCTGACGGAGGCGAGCCAGACGAGTTGAACGATAGTCCTCGTAGGAATTTGGTGGAACATTTTTTAAATGATAAGATCCAAGTAACCCATACTTTATTATACTAGGCAGCTCACATAATCGGCATATATTTTTTTCAAACACTGTTGTCGTACGTTTTAGATCATATCGTCGAGCGGAGGCAATATTATTGCGGTGACCAATCCGGCGTTGCTCACGTCTGGGACTACACCACTCAAGCTGGAGCCCATGTCACCTGAACACAACGGTTAACATTGTTGACGACTACTGCATAAATGCTATAGATGTTCTGTTGAACAACCTCGTTTAAACTTAACATGTTTTTCAACAAAATATTTTTATGTTCCTAGTAAACAATGAACTTGTTTACGATATCCAGTCCAATATAAGCAAGTTTAATATGTAATGTTATGATCTTATATTTATTTTTTTCTTTGTATAATTTTACACTGAATATCTAAGAAAAGTATATTTGTGTCTCTTAGTTGAACTGCTTTGATTTTTTCATGGTGCTACTTTCATTATTGTTAATATTATTTTTATCAAGCCTTACAGTTGCTTGTAAATAGTTACTATTCAATGGCCAATGTATGCTTATTATCACATTTTGTATTTTACTCTTATTTATAATGATAAATCCAACTTTCTAAAACGGAAATGTTGTAAATTAATTAAATTAAAATAATATTGTTGATCACTTTCCATGATGTGTTATTTTTGGACTTGCCTAAGGTTTCGTTTTTATTTTTATAGTTTACATCCGCACACTTATAAAAATTGTGCAAAAAATCAAATATATAATTTTATCAAACTTTCAGCCTCATATATATATTAACTATTTAAGAATACACAAAAATATTATTTAGTTTAGTTAATGTCAATACAAACCAAAACATTGTTTTTTATTAGTCAAGCTTAATGTCTTCTTATCTAGTAGATATTTTATGTTATTGAACAGTTTGTAATATTTTATTTGCGCTCGGGTCTAAATGTTATTAATCACATAGGCAAAATTAATAATGGAAGTAAAATAGTCGAGTAAACTCTATCAAAGTGAACAACACTTTTAAGTTTTAAGAAACATTTGTTGTTTGTTATTGATTAATTTTACTAGAACTTTTCAAACTTGTTTTAACATTGAATTATTAAAAAATAATAAAACAAATAAAAAACTTATACTATTGTAAAAAGAGTGCACTTTTTTTTACTATTGCTGTTGGTATTAAAAAAGTAAACCAATGTAATTAATTAAAATTAAATTAACCATTTGGTGTATACTGTTTACTATCATTTAAAATAAATTAAACTTGCTTAATACTTTTTGTATACATACATAATTTTTGTAGTGGTTTGACAAAAAAAAAATGTGTTGTTAAACTATCTTTTACACACAAAATAATCGTGTAAAAAACATTAAACAGTTGATAAAAAACTTATGAATAAATAAAAATACTATTATACTCTGTTCAGAATAAAAACAGGCTTCGGCGGCCGACTAGTGCGCATGGCCGCCCGACGAAAACTGCTGGCCGCCAAAACCTGTTCTTATTCCGAATAGAGTATAATCTTGTGTAGAGTACATCTTAAAACAATAAAAATATAAAACAACAAATAAACAACAACAGTAAATTAAGAAAATATTAAAATACACAATAAAATATTAATCACTCGAGAGAAAAATAAACATTATCGTTTTTGTTTTAACCTCATAAATATTAATCTCATAATTTTAATTCGGATATTTGGGTTACAATTTTCAGTAAATGGTAATAATCATTAGCGTCGTTGCTTTTTCTTAAAAGTTCACCATATATTGACTTCAGTTGGTCAGTTTTGTTGGCCAATCTAATAAAAACAGAATGTAAATATTATTATTATTAATTAGTAAAGTTCCATTTTATAAGCAATCATATGCCTCTAATTACTTGGATATTTTCGCCATAGCCAATTTAATCATTTTCTTCAGGGTGTGCTGTAATCGTTCTTCTAATAATACTAGCAATTTTTTTGTCTTTAACTTGCCATCTTTGTCATCATCTTGTTGTTCAGTCTTGTACAAGTCGTCAGAATTTACCAAAACAGTCTCTTTTTGTTCCTCGCTGCTGTTTTCAAACAGCATTTTCAGAACAACAACGCATTTCACCAAAGTCTGTGCGATAGAAACGATAAACTTCACTTTGGCCGAAGAGTTTGTTACACCTAAAAAGCATAAATTGTAGAATTTTGAAGTTTCATAAATTAATATAAATGAGTTTCACTCAATGTACTCACTGTCCATCTGTAGCTCGTCTAAAGCGATATTTTTTATTAAGATTTCCAAACATTCCAACGGACGTTCCATTTTAAGAAACATGTCAAATGCTTTATTGTAATGGGACGTACATTGGTGAAGTGTGGTCTTAAACTTTGTATCGTCTACTTCTAAACATCTAGCAGTAAACGTATTAATTAGTAATGAAACCTTACCTTCTCTTTGTTTATATAATGAAATGAAATTAGTTTTGGATCTTTAAAAATGTACCTTAATCTATGATGGTACAACGATGCTAATCTGTCGTGTATGTATGCCGCCCGAAATTCGTAAAGTAGTTTTCTGGATGAATCGTTTTCCAAATCGCAATATTTCAACGCTTTTAGTAATAAACTTATGACTTCTTTTTCGGCTTCAGCTCTGTCCTAGAAATGATAAAAAGATTGAATAATGGAAAAATGTGCATTTCGTGTTTTGGGCATTACTGTGTACACAGAAGGATCGTCTTGGGATTGTATGGCCATGTTGTAAATAGTAGTAGATAAGTCCCAACAAACCATGTCCCACAGTTGAGGATTATAACGGCGACTGCCTAATACTGCCAAACCTTTTGTATAACTTTCTATTGCCTAAATACATTTGTTATCAACAAACTTCAATTAATTTTAAAACTTTTTTAATACTTCTTATTTATTACAAAGGATTTAACATCAGTGCAAGGTATTAGTCTATATTTTCAGAATTGGCCTCGTACCTGGTTAGTGAAATCCTTATTTTTGAACAAATCTTCATATGAGCTCGTATAAAGCGATGAATAATAGGCAACGTGTCTGTACAACCGTCCCATATTTGAGTATAACAACGCAAGGTTGATAAGATCATCAGAGCTTTGAAATTTATTGATTCCCATAGACAAATAATGTTCAGACTGTTGTAGCAACCAATGTAATCTCGAAGGGGGCAACTCAATTTCTTCTTGCAGAGCATCTAAATGAATCGAGTGAAATTATTATTTTACCGTAATCAAATTTGGCAAAAAAAGTAAACCAGCAAATGTTTAACCAAAAAATATGGATTTTATTAGGTTAACTTAACTGTCAGACTTCTTTAAAAAAAAATCCGGGTTGCCATCAACAGAGATGGATAACCATAATTTACATAACTCGGGATAACTACAAGAAATATCAATTCAAATGAAAGACAGTACGATATTACAAGAGCTAAACTGATTATAGACTTGTAAAAAAAAATCTATATAAACTTTTCTCTCCATGAACATTATTTAATAGAATTTCTAAAGGCATGACTTCACTTCAAAATTTTTTTTATCAAGTTTAAAATCAGTTAAGCTATTGCCTATCAGACTAACATACTATCAATAATTTATTCAAAATTTGTTGTAGTTATAACAAATAATGTAAATTTTGTCTTGGTAACGTTTTCGGTCCCAGATTGCCAAATCAGATTGTAATATATAGTCAAAGAACTGCTACATTACTTACTGGCTATTTCATTTATATAACCATAGGTGATTTCATTGTAAACATTTCCAATTCGCCTGTTGAGGGTATTTTTATTTTTTTCGTTTGTTTCCATTTCCAAAGATCGGTTATAACATTTAGCGGCCGCATCCAACATATTTTCTTTTGATACAAAGCAATTTGGTATCAAGTCAAAATCTGAAACATAAAAAATATAGAACACACGCACATTGTTCAATGAAAATAATGCAAGTATTATTTACCGTCACGTGCATAAGTATTACATTCACTCTGTAAAGCATTTCTGATTCCTTCATCGTAGTCTTGGTCGTTCCCCAATTCTTGAGTGTACTGAATAATTTTACTCCAATTTTGAACAATCATTAAACAACAATCTCCAATGCGACCCAACAAATACACAACTAGCTCGTTGTAGTTGGTGTTAACGATGCACATCCTACATTCGAATACTAATCGAAAATGTCTCATTGCAGACCCATACCTGGTTTGAAAAAAACAAATGTACTTTATTATTATTATTAGTAAAGCAAATGAAGAGGTAGGTATAAAACACGTTTCACTTACGATCCACACGTAAAATCATACTCTGCGAGCGTAGCATATGATAAAAAAGCTTTTTCGTACAATAAAACTCTGAGATGACGTTTCCAAGAAACACTATCTTTGGCATCAGGAGGATTATGCCAGGTAGGTAAGGTTTCAGCGATTGATTTGCAAAGCAAAGTTCCAGGACTAAAATAAACATGGTTATTTAATTTAGTGGTGTAGTAGTAAGGGGTTACGATTTTGTTAAGAGTACACAAATACACAGAAAAGTGGGAGGTGGTAGTTGGTAGTCGTAGTTTTGTGTAGTCGTAAGGGTATAGGCAGTGTGTACTTTTACAGCTACACCACTTACTAATTATTCATTTTCTTATTCTTTTAACATAAATATTAACTATTTTAAAAAAAGCAACTACAGGACATACACAATATCGTTGTTTTCATCATTTTCAGAAAGCGAACTGGCTTTATTTCGTTTACGGTGTTTATTTTTAGAGCTTTTGGTAACAGTTTTTTCTTCTTTTTTTTTTAGTTGACTTTCGGGTTTAGATGACACAATGTAGGGCATTGGTATGGCTTCCGAAGGTGTAGCCATTAGAGGTTCTTCTTCCATTGCTTTCTAAAATCAAAAATTATATTAGTAATTAATATTTTATAATAATTCCTATTTTAAACCTTATTTTCTTCGTCTTTGAACTCTGGGCTCAGATTATCAAAATACTGTAGGCAATTCAAACCACATCCAACGTGATATAACGCCTTTTTGCATCGTTCATCTAGAGTCTTGACGACAGGTTCTGACGGAGTATACTTAGCTTCTAATAATGAATGAAGGAAAAAAAACAATTATTACAAATTAACAGAATAATCATTATACTTTTATAAGTTTTATAAACCAAAATTCACTTTTTGATTTTTGTTCCTCCTTATGGGACACACACAAGTCTCGTACTTCCACAGTGTATGTCGGCTGAGCTTCGTCTGACACAACTGAAGAATCATCATCTGATACAACTGGAGACATCATAATATCATCTTCGCCGCTGTTGGTCAGATCTTCTAATTTGGGCGAGGTCGGGTTAGTGTTACAGGGAATGTAAAGATCAGATAACATATAGTTTACTGAGGTTACAATCTAAAATCCATAAAACACAGTGTAAGTTGGTAGTTATCAGAGGCTATATGTTTTATTTACTTGTGGATATTTTGTTTTATTTAATAGTTTTAAACAATTGTTTAACAAAATTTGTATTGTCGCCGGACTTGATGGTTGTCCGTCAACCGGATTATGTTTCAAGTTTCGGGCTACCCGATACAACAGCATGGCTACGGGCACAGTAAATGGATTTTGTCCTTCACAACGTCCTTCCACCAAAGACTCCGAACACAACGAAGTCAAATCGTACAGTTTTACAACATCTTCATACTTTCCTGAATATTACAAAGAAAATTGTTGAGCATTACAAAACTTAGTAGTTTCATAGTGTATTTTTTGATACCTTTAAAAAGCCAATATGTGTGTCCAGCTTTGGTAGCGTTGGACTTCAGAAATGATAATATATTTTGTGCGACATCTCGCACTACTTTTGGAGAAAATTTTGAATCACTTAAATATGGTAAGTCTTCGGTTTTTACCAATTCATACTTTTGAACAATACCGTTTAAATGATAACACATGACTACTTCCGGAACATTACACATAAGGTTATCGAGCCAATAATCAATACCGGTGAGCACACTTATGGGTTTTGACATATCTCTAAAAACGGTAAACATCTAAGTAAATCTTATGTGAACAGCCATCATTTGTGCTAACCTTAGTCTCAAACTCAAACAAGGGTAAGTTCCACCTCCAAAAATTGGCATGTCTGTACCTAAAAGCATCTGTAAGTCTTCGAAATTCCACAAAACATTTTGATTAAACAACCTATGAGTTTTCGGATCATCTGGAAATTCTTCTTCCGGCGAAGGTTCTGGCAAAGGAGGTGCAGACTTCGGAAAATGTTAAAAAGTACAGTCATCTGTTAATTTGTGTTCAATATAAATATACAACAGAAAATAACTTACAGACGAAGTGGGTTTGGGCAGAATCTCAATGGGTAGTTGACTAGCATTATTAGTGTTTGAAGAATTGGCAATACTATAGTGCAGAAACTTTGAGTTCAAGCTTTTTTGTTGGAGGACGTCAAATGTGTTCACTTTGTGTGTAACACATTTTTCCTAAAAAAATCCATCAGCTCGGTTAACACTAGTCATGACTTAGTAGCAACAATTGCTCATATTCAACACTAAAATGTACTTTTAAAAAGCAACACAAACCATCATATCATACGAGTCCAATACATGTTTGAAAAAGAATTTTCTCAACCATTCCCAATCGTCTTCAGTTTGCACCAATAAATATTTGTGAACATCAAATTCATCGATAAGCAGAGTATTTTCTATTCTGTGTATCATCATGCTTACCTAAAAACAAAAATAAAATTTTAACCTCAATAATTTGTATTGCTTAAAAATGTAATATTTATTTTTTCATAGTAAACAATTATTACAGATTTGTTGCTGTATGGTATTTTCAATAACCGTTTAATGTTTTCAGCATCAGAGACAACATCAACTTCTCCAATGCAGTCAGGAAACATATGCGCCATTTGGAAACTGAATTAAAAAATGTATGATTAATATACTTTAGATTTTTTTAAACTATATTTATAATACCTCGAAAATCCATCCGAATGTGAGATCACGTGTTTTAAACCATAAGATTCAGCTGCACTACTCAACCAATTTGAAGGTGGTAAGTTGAGATCAGTGTTGCATTGCAGATGTGCAAAATTAGCTGGTCGATGTACAGAAGAGTATTTGACAATAGCATTAGATTTAACCGTTTCACCTTTGGTTTTAGATACTTGAAGTAATTTCATTTTGCAATCTAATTGATCCTAGAGTAAAAATAAAAATACAACCACTCCATTAACGTTTATTAAAACCCCTATTAATAAAACCTACAACAAATAAAGTTTTAACTCATATTTCCAAATTTTTCAGCATGTACAAAGCGAATTCAGCTATGAACTGTAATATATTTAGCCACAATTTTACTAGTTTTTAGTTATTTATTTAGATAGAGAAATTAATTGTACATAAAAAAGACTGATTTTATAAATTATAAATTAATTTATGACTAAATTTTTGAGTTAATACATTTTTATTAAATAATATATTTGATTACTACTTTTTTGTAGACCTCATTAAACAGACTCTGGCCCAATTATTTTTAACAAGAAGTTTTTGTAGTATTTTCTTTGTTTGCATAAAATTAATGGATGCATCAGTTTTGTAAATTGATTTTTAAAATTAATATATATTATTGTTTCCCATATTTGTCTAGCCGACAACAATTACTTGCAGCAACTCAATGATGTTCTCCTGTTTTATTTGTTTATATAATGTTAACTCAACACTACTTAAAACTCACTCAACTTAAAAATTTTAAAGCACTTCTATCAGTTCATTGATATTTTTTAAACCCTTTTGTGTGTACTACTCATACGCACTTACCATGTCGGGGTTTTTAACTTGCAACGCGATTTTACGGAACAGTTAAGTGTTTTATCTAAAATTAATAATTTTTAAAATAATTTTAAAATTAAAATAAATAAAAAACGGATTGTTCCACAAGATAGTTAATAACATATTCACTTTAAAGCAATAATAATTTTTAAATGTTAACTAAAGTCTAAACGACGACGTGAAAAATTAAGCAAAATAACTGTGCAATGTACATAGTTCGTAACCGCAAGTCGCAAAACCACGGACCACGAGAAAATGTTATCACAATCAAAAATCACCAAGCAAATGATAACAATGGTCAAAAAAACCCGTGACAAAATAAAAAAGTATGTATTCAACTTGTGTTATCAATTTTTACAATATGGTTGCCGGTTTTCTCCCATAAGGAATGTACGGCTGTCTGTGAAAACCGGTGGCCGCTATCACAAGTTGCTGTCTGCTGACATACCTGTTTATTTTTTATGTAAAATCAACATAGCACGTTAGGAATTTTGCCTTTTTTTAATTGAGAATTGGAACCCAAGTGGTTACTGGTTAGTTAAACAGATTTAAAAACAATAACAGGAGTATCGAAAATGATTAGAAAATTAATTACTTTCATCAAAGCCCAAGTCATTATTATACATACCCTACATTACATGTATTGTAAACAACGCCAATTTACTCAAAAATACTATAACTTTTTTAAAATAGGACTTTCAATCATAAATATGTGTTTAGCATTATGATTTCGCATGACCAACACTATTCAATGTTTTAGCATAATTGTTATTATGATATTAATTAACCTTTAGTTGTCGAAGAACAATACAGCTCGGGACAGAATAATATCGAGTAATAAGTAATAACTAGGCTACATAGTAGGTAACAGATTTCGAGACGCGAAAATTTCTCAAAAAACATTACATAAATTGAACTTGTTCAGCATTTTGACATTTCTGGTACTTTTGTAATCATTCCTTAATGAAGCCAAATCAGTACATAATTTATTTTATCTGAATTCATTACTTGAAAAAAAGCCAGTACTCAGTAAACATAATAATGTATTCCTCCTAGTAAATGACAACATGAATAAGATATTAACTTGTTACTCAAAATCAGAAATATTTGGATCAAAATTTAAAATCAATGCATATTATACATTTGTACTGAACATAAACTTAAGCAGGTACATCAAATGAAATATCAACAATAAAATATAATATTTTATGAAAATAGTACGTGTAGAGTGTAGACAACTAGGTATGGATAAAGAAATTGTTTTTATCTCGTGATAATGTAATAGTTAACTAATAATTGTTCTTTTATCAATTTCCAACATTCATTAGGTTTAATCTAAGAAGTTAAAAATTGTAGTTTTATTAATATTTAAAAATGTTTTACAAAATGTGATGAGTGCAACAAGCACTTATAGTTATTATTATGTAGTACTCAAAAAACATATTTTAATACATTTTCTAAAGTTAAATCAGTAGTTGTTGCTTAACTTCATTATATTTTTTACTATACATACTATACTTATGAATACATGTATATAGTTCACAAAAAATTAAAAGCATCATATAAAATGATTGAAATTTAGTTTATATTTTAGCATAAATGATAATATAATAAAAGTAAATAAAATATGAACAATAAATAAATATAAATAGATATATAATATATAAATAAAATAAAAATATATTAATAATTATAATAACATAATTATTATTATATTATACTTAACTAGCAATAACTAAGGCATATGTAACTATAATTATTACAATTCTAATCCCTCTAACGCTTTGTAAACGGAATCGTCACTGTCTGCAGTTTCGATTCTATTACGTAAATGTGCTAGTGTATTATCAAAATGTTTGGATATCTGTTCAGTTTCTTCATTTGGACTTAAACTAGTGATTTCTTTTTTTATTTGACCAATTAGCTGATTCAATATGTCGACAGTGACCTAAAATACAACAAATATTTTATTATTACATTTAATTTTAATTCATTTAAGTTAAACACTTACATTGTTGTTTCCTCGTTCATAGAAATATACATAATAGTTAAGTAGTTCAACAAACAACTGAACTTGAACAGACGTTTCCATACACTGTTTGGTGATACGCACACATTTTTTTAAGCAATCCATTACACGCTTACCATCTTGGATCTAAAAAATATTATTACATTATTATTTAACCATTTAATAAATTAAATTCCAATCACAATAAAACAATTAGTGGCCTAGTAAAGATATCTTACCGGTTGTCCAAGATTATTTTGTGCGGACCAAAACAAATGTGAGCTGATAGCTACTGCCCGACACTGATCTGGTTTTTTAAGTAATTTAGAAGCCGCCAAGGCACATTGAGTACGAACAGGTTCTGCATTTTCCTCGTCAAAACAATTAATTTTTTCAAATGTGCCAATAAGCAATATAATAGCAGCTAACTGACATTTACTTTCTGATATTTCTTCTTCGTACAATGTAAAAGCCTTTAACACACAAACATGGTCAAATTAAAATATTGCTAATGCTGATATAATAGAGTTAAGTGTTCTTATTATATTTTCTTATTATATTAATTTTACCTGCGAGTAAAATTCATAAGCTACAGTTTCATAATTTTTAAAATTAATTTGTGATATTGTAAGCGCTCCTTGCAGGAATAATCTAAGAGGCAATTCAGCGAGTTCTGCTTTAGTCAATTCTAAAATTGTTTGATGACAGAACTGAAAGATTTTTCGACACTTTTTCTCCCATAATTCATCCTAAAATAAAATTAAAATTTTATAATTAACAGTTTTTATTATTTTCAACATAAATTTGAATGGTCAATTCTAACTTGATCTCTATGTGCACTGTAAATCAAAGCAAGTTGATACGCTTGAAATACCAATGGAGGAAGAGTGTAACAAATACGTTTATTTCCACCCAAGCTGAAATGCTCTCTTTGAGTCATCAAAATTTGAAACTGTAAATCTGGTTCATCTGATTTCATGTGGTGGACAAACCTTAAACAAAAAAAATTGAAATTTAATTATATTGTGCTGAAAACCAAAACCCATTACTACCTTCCAAGAAGACTCTGTTCTTCGGCAAAATCTTCAGGGTCTTCTTCACCGACCGGCTGATCAGGTTGATCTTTGACCAAAGGTGAAACCATTGTGAGAACAATGTTAGACTAAAAGTAATAAAAATAAAATCCATTTAATTGTAACTAAAAAATAATAGTCTGCAAAATTAGAGTTTTCAAATGCTGTACTTGTTCAACGGTTGGAATTAATGTTCTACACTGAACTGCATTTTGAAGTAAGTAAATTGCAATGGTTTTACGACCGGTGAAATCAAAATATTCAATGATCTCAGGGAAATGTTTTAATTGCATTACTAACAAAAGATCACCGTAATTGTCGATGGGCAATTTCATGAGGGCCATTAACTCCCTGGACACTGGATTTTTGTGGCTGATCCTAAATAAATCAAAATCAGATTAATATACTAATGAAGACGAACAAAATAAAAAAATGTACTCATTAACTTACTTTTCAATTTTACGCCTTGCAAATGTATCGGAAATTGTTTGAAATGATTTATCGACATAATCCAAATTGTCTGGATAACATTTTAGGGCTAAGCCGACCATGGCCGCTTGAAGAGATACAGTATCTTCAAGTGGTAAATCTCGGGTCTACATTTTTTTTTAAATAAAATATATGAATTGTAATTATATAATTAGTAATTTGTGATAATCATATTTTTATACCAAATACCTGAATAATATTGGCGATTTGTTCAGTAAGGACTTCAAATAGTTTCACCTCGGAAGCATTTGAATTATGGAAAGTAAATACAGTTAGACGATTTATCATCAAGATAACAATAGTCTTAACATTCACGGATGGTTGTAGTTCACAGCACGATTTCAAAAATACATTCAAAGTGTAAAGATGAAACTCGTCGGGGAACACCTAAAATGCATGAATATTACATATATTTAGCTTCTGAAAATAATTTGTGTGGTTACTCAAAACTTTTACAAAATTGCTTTACCTGAATTATACACTCCATAAGATACTCTTGAGCAATGGCATCCCTACAACTGACAATTTGTTCTAAAATTCCAGGTAAAACCACCTGTAATAACCAAGGTGGGAAAGAATGAGTACATTAATTCAAATTATTATTAGGTATCATATGTTTTATTTAATAAAAACATACTTTGCGGTATTTATCCAAAGTAATACTGTCGAGGTGTGACAAACGAACCAAATTAGTTCCAACTAATATTTTTAATTCTTCACGTTCTTTTTCTCGACGTTCTTTTTCTCTGGAATGACCCTGATGTTGCATTCTTACCCACAACTTATTCATTTCCGCGAAATTCATTAAAATAAAATCAATTGAATCACGTACCTAAAAGTAATTTTTATAAATCAAGACTACTTCAAGCAATTACGAAAATGATTTGTACTGTTAGGCCAGTTCTGATAAAATTATAGATTATTACAGGTAATACAAAAGTTTGTACTTAATAGTCAATATTCTTACAGTGCCTTCGGGATGTTCGTTTTCTTCATTATCAGGAATATCAGGTAATACATTTTTAGAACACTGCAATAAATAATGCCGTAAAAATAAACCTCTCAAGGGATGTTGTACTCCGCGGCACATTTCAACTAGATCTTTTAGGAGATCTCTTTTCAAGTTGGTGTTCGTTTTAATGTAAACTAAGCCTACTGTAATTAACAAATATCTGAAATAAATAAAATGTCAGTGATTATAAAAATGTATAGTTAACTGACTTTGTAACAGTACTTACAGTCTCGGTACAATGTTTCCAGCATACTGTATAATCTGATATAAGTCATCTACTTTGCGACCTCGTTCAAACTCTTCTACTAAGTACAAATCTAAATAGCACAGCTCGTTGGTTACCTTCATAACTGAATATTAAATATTAAGGAAAAAACAAAATAAGCAATACAAATTATAGATTGCAACAAATTATAGTAATTTTCAAAACTGTTTCAAAAAAGAATACAGAGTTCATAGTAACTCTTCGGCGAAAGCAATGATGTTCGAAGTTCAGCCAACATCGCTGATGCGTGTTTGAGTGCTTCCATTAATTTGTTTTTATCCAAGCACATTTTCATATGCACTCCTTGTTTCTGGACTGAGGTCAACGCAATTTCCAATTGCTTTTCTTGTTCTTCCATTTGTGTCATACTAAAACAAACATTTATAAATTAATCTCAACATGTAACACAAGTCAAATAAATTACAAATATTATGTATTGCTTCGAGAACAAATGTCCAACCATTAGACCCACTTACAACAACTGATGGTTGATGTGTAAGAAATTTACCAGAAAAGTAAGAAACAAACACTAGATAGATATTAGAACAATAATACGTTACATACCTTATCTCTCGTTCTTTAATATAATATGTTTGTTATTATATAATTTGTACTAAAGTGCAATAGTGAAATCGATATAGACAAATGTACGTTTAACCGTTGTAATAACAATGTCTAAAATGTAATAGAATACAAATATATAAAAGTAACATCTACCGAAACCAATTTAAAATAGTATACCTATTATTATTTATTATGTCATTATGATTTATGCTTTTTACAATGTAAAAACGATTATATTATTCTGGTTTGTTAAATTCAGGTAAAACATTTCGGAAAAATGGGATGTGTATTGTGTTTATCGAGCGTTATCACTTATCAGGCAAACCTGTTCGACATTGACTGACCAATGGCGCCAACATTCCGAAACAATGACAACTGACAATTATTGCCACCCAAATTTAAATAAAAAAGAGCTATACAATAATATTTAATGATCATATTTCATCTTTACTGTGGCCAACTATTGACTAATGTATGTAAATAACGAAATACAACTAAAACAAATCGAATTATATATTAATTGAAATATAGAGATATTAAAGATAATTACTTTTGTAAAGTGTTTCGCTAAAATGTATAACCTGTTAATAACCTGTGTATAACCAATTAATAATTTGATAAAACTATAACGCAGTTAAAATATTCTACTTAAAAGTTAAATCGAATAGCTTAAAAAACTTAATACAAATTTGCATAATGTATCAAATTATTCAAATTGAAATTAATAAAACAAATAAATTACTGTCATTATTGACCATTTCAAATAATGTTAAGGAACATGGGTTAAATTATTTGTCTCCCTATTTAATTTGCTTATTCATAAACCTAATTACAAATATAATTATTGACGCTTCGATAATTATATCAAGGTAGTACCTATTGTTACAATGTTCGAAAAACATTCAAAAAAATTATAAATATCCACGCTACACGGATACATCAGCACATGGATATGTCTTACATCAACACAAACAAGTAAAATAAACCATTTCTCTAACAGCGATTTGGTTGTTGAGTGTGACATCCAGCGTAACGTTTCGAACACATTTTTAGAATGATCCTCAACGATAAGACATAACTCTATCAAAAACTTAAAAGCGTTCTCAAAAACCCATTTTTCGAAAATAAATTCAAACAAATATAACCAGCCAACTTTCAAGATAGAAGAACGATTCGGGTCTCAAAATGTACAGAATTTGGAATAATTTTATTTTTGCGACAAGAGGTCCCTTTTTGTTTCACATATTGTTAATACATGGGAAATAACGACAACAAATTTATATACATTAGACAGACGATCAACCCTAATTTCAAAAATACAATTTTAAGCACTTTATTGTCATTATTACAATGCTTTTATCAATAGGTATTTGTATTTCTTCCATACTATACACATTTCCATCGAAGGGTTAATTTAAAGGTTATTTGATCACGTTCAGTTATAATAGTTCTTGTAGACCGTAGACGGGTGACCTCCCTGCCCTAACTGTACTGGTTATATTATTATTAAAATTTAAAAAGTAAAAACTACTATTACTCACATTTATTTGTTAACAACTATTGTAAATATTTAGTATAGACATAAGAAATAATGTTTTATTTATTTTATAAAACCATCCAGCATTATTGTAAAAGTTTAGTTTAAATATTATAATAATATGTGTGTTGCCTAATAAAGTTTTTAATGATCAAACATAATTGATAAATATAGTTAAACCTATTGCTAAACTAAATTACTTAAAATTGACAAATAAATATAACTACCAACCTCAGTTCACTCAACCAATAGTATAAATTTATTGAAATAATAGAAAAGTTTATTGTTATTGTTCTTTTGATAAATCAGTTAAATGAGTATTATACAAGTTGATAATTCATTTCCATAAGAATTGGTATGTTAAATATTTTGGAACTTATTTTGATTTTCTTAATGTCTATAGAATTGTTATCACTCGATTGTTAAATATTGTTTAGATAAAATGCTACCATTCATTTTTTTGACATCTAACCTTTTGTGTATATTTTTATCTTCAAAACAACATAAAATAAGATTTTATGTAGCGGTATTCTATTTGTGAACATTTGTCAAATTATCTAAATTAATTACAAACAGAAGTCACATTTAGGTTTTAATATTTCTTACAAACTAGTAAATATATAATATATTTTAATAACTATTTGTTACCATACATTAATGAATTATTTGAAACATCTAATTTAACACCATGATAAAAGACGTACCTACTCTTATTTACAATGCTAAATGTATTAAATTTATAAAAAGTGAATATTTCTATTCGTTTGTTTTTTCAACGACAAAAAAGTACAATAAATAATAAGTAACTCATACAATTTTTTTTCAAAAGCAATATTTACACACATTTTTATTCTAATAATAATAATTAAAAGGAAACACTAATTTTATCACACTGTCAATTGTTAAAACAAAAGTGATACTTGGTATACATCCATAATTAATAATTACATTTTTAATATTTTTAAAGTGCAGATTTACAATTTGAAAGCATTGGTTTTATAACAATTAAGAATAAAATAAAATACACAGATCAATAGTTCTACAATTAATAGGTAAATGCAAGATAAATGTATTAGTTAATTGTTACGTAGCATGATTTAATTTTGTACAGTGTACCTATCTTAATGATTAACATATAATACAGTTATAGTTTTAGAGTAATTTAGAAGTTGTTATCAGTTTGAGGGGATCTCATTACTCCAACACCGCCTCCGAGTCTTCTATAGTTCATGGTGCCACAAAGCCTCCACTGATTTTGACTCTGATCATATACTTCAATTGTTTTCAAATAGGCAGATCCATCAAATCCGCCAACTGCATATAGTTGACCATTCACAACTGCTAACCCTACGCCGCTTCTTCTAGATGTCATTGCTACTATTGGTGACCACATATTAGTATGTGGGTTGTATCTTTCTGCACTGCTTAGCTCCATGCAATCATCTCGTCCACCAACTGCATATATCATGTCTTTATATACTGCACATCCCAAATGTTTTCGTCTTGTCGACATCGGAGCCATAATAGTCCATTTGTTTTGCCTCGGATCATAACGTTCAACAGAACTCAATGGCGACTGACCGTCTGAACCACCGATTGCATACAAATAACCTCCTAATACAGCAACGGCAACACCTAATCTCCTTGTAGTCATAGGAGCTACTTTACTCCATTTATTTTCTTTGGGATCATAACGCTCAACATGGCTTAAACATTGAACACCGTCTTGGCCACCAACAGCATACAGCAAACCGTCTAAAACAGCCACTCCAACACTTGTGCGACATGAAGTCGTAGGAGCAACATCACAAGACCACTGATTAGTTTGTGGATCATAGCGCTCAATACTGTTCAGGTAAGATTGGCCGTCATGGCCGCCAACAGCGTATAACAAATCATTTAGTACAGCCACGCCAACACCACACCTTCTCTTACTCATTTGAGCTTGGAGCTTCCAATCTTCAGTTTGCGGATCATAACGTTCCACTGAAGCTATAGCGTCTCCACTACACCAACCGCCGACAGCAAATAAGAGTTGGCCCCGCTGAGTAGGTTTGCGGGGTCTGGTTCTAGGTCCTTGCATTAGAGGCCGCTCTTGGGGTAAAAGTAAGTAATTTTTAGCTTCGTCGACGAGGTCCCTACACGTTTCATCACTACGAACTAACAAGTCTGCTCCTACTGTGCCAACCAAAAACTTTGGGCTTAAGAGTGGTAATCTCACGTGTTGAAGAACTTGTGGAAGATTCTGTCGTCTCTCTGATATATTATACTTCACCCATGACATGGCAGCATTGAATACTTGTTCTTCTGTTCTTACATTTAATTCATCACTAGCAATCAAATCAATTAATTGTGAAACGGGCAGCAAGAGAAATTCTTCACTTTCCATAACTTCTTGAAAATTATGCTGTGTGTATTTGTCAGCCACACGCAATAAGTCTAAGCAAGAATGAGTATCGGCAAATGCTCTGATACCGAGGCAGTTTGATGGATCGAGTTGTCTTCTCAAAAACTCGCAGCAAATATCTTGAATTTCAGTTAACTGTAATAAACAAGCAGCGGGTAAAAGTGTTTGGACGTTAGATTCTTCAACTGTAATTCGTGCCGTATAACAAAACTCGATTAGCAGTTCCATAGCTATTTCATCCATATCCCGTATAGTAACTTCGGTTTGTCGTGATTCAGCCAAATCTCCATTGAACATGGCACGAAAATATGGACTGCACGCAGATAGTATATTGCGGTGGGCAAATATTTTCCGATTATTGATGTTAAGTACGACATCGCACAACTCACGATGGCGACGCATCACACTGAACTCGGCAAGTACACATCTTGGATGTTTATCTGACACGTGCGTCAGCCTATTAGGCAATGGTGAATCGGGCTCCATTGAACCCATATGCAGTGCACTAGATCGTGCACCTAGGGTTGAATGGAGTCTAAGGGGTGGAGAACACCAGTCCCACGTACCTGTTAAAAAATACAATCAAAATATTATAATATCATTGACAAAATTGAAATAAGTAAATACAGTGCTACACAATACAATAATTAAAGGGCACAGGGGAAAAACGGTAGTAGTCACATTATGACAATTTTTGAGTATAGCAAAAACAAAGTTTGTGAATTCCTCTTCCTTTTACATAAGAACAAACAAAATCACATTAAATGCTACACTAATGATAAATGTATTTATTTAAACAATCTATTGACATAAATAAAAAAAATGATTGGCATAAATTGAAAAAAACTATTTATAATGTGATAACTACCGTTTTTCCCCTGTGCCCTTCAATTATAAAGGGAATAAAAAAAAAGTGAATATACACTTTTAGATAACCCAACAGAAACACAAAATATCAAATATCTTCAGTAATTTTTTTTTGAAATATGTCATAGTTTTAAATTTGTACTTAATAAGATTATATTTTGATTATTATATTTTATTAATAAATATATTCATATAAATTACACAGTACAAAGCCTAAATATAATATTAAGTTTAAACTAGCAGCTATGAAATAAAATTTTTTTGTAAAACACTTGATTGGTGATTTATAACAAATAAACGATTGCGGATGGGCCTCCTTTTCACTGGACGATAGCTCGCCCAGCAAACGGAGCGCCCATAACCGAGTGTCGAGCCAGTGACAGTAAGTTTTAACACACTGCCACCTTACCCACTCGGCCACTCCTCCTCTAAAATCAACTATATACTATTAAACATAACCAAAACATTTGTTTCTAGTATATCATTGGTAATAACAAAAATATTTTTTGAAGTAATTAGTAGATGAGGACGACTAGTATTGTTATAATAGATAAATAATATGTGTTATTGTTAAAAATATGAAAACTATTTACACTTTGAACTGTGTTTTACACAAACTCATTTTACAAGAACTTAGTATTCAGTATGGTATAATATTCGGATAAACTTGATAATACCTTAGTTTCTTATAAATTAGGTCAACGGCGTATGGGTTATTCAAATGATAAAAACATGGAATGAAATATTAAAAATCCATACAATTTATCCTAGAACAACGAAAATACTAATAAAACGTGTAAAATACCTTCAATGTTTGCTTCGTTTAAGTCCACGAAGTGAAGATAAATGTATAATAAACGTAAGTAATTAACGCGACGAAACTGAATTCCCGGACGGCTTCACATGAAATTCCGAAAATATCTTTCTAATATTAATTAAACACACGTAAATACTAAGTATTATTTATATTACAAACACTTTAAAATAATATATCACTGAACAGAATACTTGTCTATGGTTTACTCATCGGTAACGCGTAGACAGTGAACAGGGTCTTAGCTCTATCTTTATCAAATAACAAATTAAACTCCGAGCTTGTAACACATCAATACAATATTATTATCAACATAAGACTATCAACAAGGATTCGGAATACAGTATAACCAACATAACAGTTCATCCGGGAATGAGATACGGTACCGTATAAACTCTGATAGTTTTTTTATGCGCTTTAACTTACTTAATGATCTTTCAAATGTTCTTGCCACAGTTATTGGCAAAGTAAAAAAGGAAACGTAAAGCTGTTTCACATTAAAATGCTTAGCACATACAAAATATGTGTGAATATATTAAAGTAGACTATATCTTAAGGTGTTGCTTTTTTCAAGTCAGGTAAAGAGAAACAATTAGTGTTCGAGACTTGAAATTTTTTTTAGAGTTGGGATCTGAAGCATTTAGGTTAGTTTCATACTTAAGAGATAAATCTTAAATCAGATGCGCATTTTTGTATATAGTCCATAGATTGTTCCATTATGCTTTTACCACACAGAAATCTAAAATCGCTAGAAAATTCAGACATTACTATATAAAATCTATCTTCTAGTCTCATAAACACTGGCTATACGAATAAATAAATAAATAAGCACTAATTAATCGTAAACATGGAAAATATATTTTATAAATATGTTCTCTTTAAATAACAATTGAATATTGTCTTCGCCTTCAGCGGATTCGGGATTTAGGACCAAATTGTCTTATATACCTCTTGCGTTTATCTAACAAATTTAGCTTAATTATTAAGCCTTAATACCAAGATATTAGCCAACTCTTTTCTATATTCAAAAAACTTATCAATTCCTTCATGTTTCATTAATAAAATAGATGAAATAAGACCTTTAACCTTTTTTCTTGCGGTATCAACTACTAAACTTTTTATTTTGTATTAAATATTATTGTTTTTAATATCGTATTTTATTTTCAAACTAGTTTTTTTAAAAAAACACGATTGTAATAATTAAATAATGTAATATTATATTATAAGTCATTAGTGATATTATATGTAATTAAATTTGTTTACTATAACAGGGAGAACCACTCAATATCTCATAGGGTTTAATTAGAAATTAAATTTTTTTTTCATATTGTTTGTATACAATGTGATCTCAATTTTTTCACATTTTTTTTTTTTGTTTTTATCCCCCTCCCAACTTAGTTTTTTTGATAGCAACTATTGAAACTCAAATGGTAACCATTATATATTTTAATAACTTTTTAAATTGAGAATAATGTATTAAAAATGTTGACTGGTCGATAACCAGTTTCGGATAACTATTTTTTAAGTTATTGAAGTTTCAAGTTAAGGGCAGGAGGAAAGGTAAAGTGTAGTATTATTTTTATCTGCACGTATTTCCCAACCGCACTTCTTCTCCCATCCTAACTTTAAAATTCTTATAACTTTAAAAATAGTTATCCGAAACAGGAAACTGGTTATCGACCAGTCAACATTTTTAGTAGGTATTATACATTATTCTCAATTAAAAAAGTTAATAAAATATATACGTTAACATTTAAGTTTCAAAAGTTGCTATCAAAAAAACTAAGTTGGGAGGAGGTATAAACAAAACAAATTGTGAAAAATTGAGATCACATTGTATAAAAACAATATGAAAAAAAAATTTTAATTTCTTATTAAACTCTATGAGATATTAAGTGGTTCTCGATAATGGATCACCCTGTATATTTATATTATAATTCGTTAAAACTTAAGAAGAAGAATGAAGATGTAAAGTATCCATAAAACAGATGAGGTAGGTAAGACTTTAAACTAAAAGACTTTACGCCATACAGTATAACCATTATATTGAATAGCATTTCACTTTCACGCTTGATTTTTTAATTGAAAATCGTTTAATTCAGACTTCTGCATTCGGAGAAAAACGCGTAAGTTGTCTGTGCGAGGAATTCATTTATAAATATTTATCAAGAAATTTCATGAAAGCCGCATGGGTCATTCCACGTGAAATCACCTAATGGGTGTGCGACTATACTTAAAAAATGTTTGACATTTTTACCATACATTCTTTATAGGTTCTTAATGACAAAACAATTTTTAAAATTTTTTTTTGGACCTGGATACTTCAATTTTTCAATAAAATTATCCAAAAACACCTCATGTTCCCGACTCTGTAATTTAACCACCGATAGTGGTATAGACATGAAACCTACACAGTTAAAAATCGAATTAAAAGTACCTACTTAACCGTATTTTAAAAATATATTTTTATTTTATTTTTTAACCCTAGGAATTTTTATTTTTATTGAATTTTTGAATTTTTCAAAAACTATTTTGGGGTCAAAAATTTAAAATTTATAAACAAATATTTTTGTTACTCAAATATGGCTTCAAATCCATGTTTGTTTTCAGCAAAATACCCATGTATTTTGCTGAAAACTACCTATTTTAATGATCCAAGACACAAATAATGTGTTGGAGACTGAGAATAATTTCTCCATCACCAAACTTTTACCAGATGTTCTACTGACTTGTATTAAATAAATTTGGAAATTTTCGTTCAGTCACATTTGTGTTGTGGGTCATTAAAGTAGGCAGTTTTCCGCTTACCACTTATGTTTGAAACCGCAAATTAATAAAAAAAAAAAAGTTCATTGGTTCAAAGATGATAGCTCATAAGGTCATAAGAACATAGCTTGAATTTTATAAAAGTAAAATAATTTAGTTTTTAACCACAAAAAAAGTTTTTGAAAAATTTAAAAAATCAAAAAAAAATTGAAACCGTATTACTAGTGTTAAAATAATTTCTCCATCACCAAACTTTTACCAAATGTTCTACTCACTTAGAAGTAAGTATTGCATGGATTTGAAAATTTTTCGTTCAGTCACATCTGTGTTGTGGGTCATTAAAGTAGGTAGTTTTCAGCAAAATACCAATGTTTGAAGCCGTAAAGTAATATCAAAAAACTTAATTGGTTCAAAGATGATATGGGTCATAAGAACATAACGTAAATTTCATATAAACAAAATAATTGAAGGGCACAGGGGAAAAACGGTAGTTGTCACATTATGAATATTTTTTTTTTTAAATAGTTTTTTTCAATTTATGCCAATCATTTTTTTTATTTATGTCAATAGATTGTTTAAATAAATACATTTATTATTAGAGTAGCATTTAATGTGACTTTTTTTGTTCTTATGTAAAAGTAAGAGGAATTAACGAAATTTGTTTTTCCTATACTCTAAAATTTTCATAATGTGACATCTACCGTTTTTCCCCTGTGCCCTTCAATTATTTTGTTTATATGAAATTTACGTTATGTTCTTATGACCCATATCATCTTTGAACCAATTAAGTTTTTTGATATTACTTTACGGCTTCAAACATTGGTATTTTGCTGAAAACTACCCGCATACAGTTAGCTGATATGCGGTTACTCTGTATTAAAATGTATTGCTATAATAATATTATTATTTTGCTCGTGTTAGTGATATGTTTTTTTTTTCGGTGGCAGTGAAAATAATGGTTGCGCGACCGTCCTCTCCTAATTATTTTTTCTACAAACTTTTTTATAGCCTTTCGATGCAGACAGTAACGGTAACGGCGTTCATTCATGAAACTTGCCTACGATCGATCAATAGCTTTTAAACCGGCTGCTCTGACGTCACACAAACGTGGTTGCCATGGCTACTTGTTGCGCGTCCCTTTGACGTCAATTGGGTCATAATTGACGTCATAGCCGGCAATAGTAGACGGTTCTATTACCTACACAGATTAACCGCAATAAGCAACCCCTTTTGTAAAAAGCTTACAGAGTCACGTTGAACAATTATGTGTAAACGAGGTGTCTACGTAATTATTATATAATAGTATACAGAGCAGGCTGTAAACTTAACTTTCACTTGACTTTGAAATTAAATATAGGCATGGAAGTGTGTAACTTATATAAAACATTTCTTGATCAAAATCGTAACGATAGTAAAGCCACTTGTGTCAAGGGCCCTGAACCGAACTTAACCAGACTTTTTTTTAATTAAGAGTATTTTTGAAGTGGGGAGAATCAAAAGGGTATATTAAGTAACTTATATATATATATATATATATATATTAAGTAATTTTTACCCAATTTGCAGGTGAGTTTAACTGAAAATTATGTTTTCAAAATATTCTTCTGAGTGATGTTTTTTTGTTTTCTTCAATACGACAATATATACAGAAAAATTTGATTAAAAAATCATAAAACAATCGCAAATAGAAAAAAGTTTCATTGACAATTAATACTATAAGAACGAAAATTTGTTTTTAAAAAATGTCACATGTAGAAGGGTTGGGGTTAGGTTAGGCGATCATCATTTAACTTTAAAAAAGTCTTTCCGCCTCCTACGCGGTTCAAATTTATCGCGTTGCTTTGTGATTATTGTTGGTGTAGATCGGACATATTCTAATATACTGTACTGCTGTCTTTGGTGTAACCTTGAGTTGTATGGAATGTTCAAATATATCTAAAACCATAACGAACTATATACCTACCGGCTACCTAACAATGTAGCGTGTAGGAAAAAAAAACAGCATACTCTCTGATTTATTAATTAATATTTAAATTACATAAAAAGAAGATAATAAAATCAAACGGTGGTTCCAAATCACAAAGAAAGATATAAATATTTAAATGTTATACCTGTTTAATATTGTTTATTTTTTTTTTCCAAATTAGCCATTTCCCGTAACTCAGCTTGTACAAAGAATGTCACAAACAAGTGCTCGGTAATGTGATATTATAACTCTGAACTCGAGGTTTATGTTTCAAGTGTTGTAGAAATCTATTTTATGACAACAGTCGAAATTCTGTATTACTCTGGTGTACTCTGTAGAACTAAAACAATTCTGAATTGACGAACAAGACGTACACGAGGTAACCTACATCATGTAGATTAAATATCAAACGTCTGTATGAATACCTATAATGGGATTTTCGATCATTTAAAATATATTCATTTTAAAATTGGAATAAGTGCTAAAAGTTTCTTTCAAGATAATACTAACATTGAATTAATATTGTACTTCAAT